TGTCTCTGTCTCCCCCCTCTTTGTCTCTCTCTCCCTTTCCCTTCTCTGTATTTCCCTGGGTCTCCCTTCCTTCCTGAGCCCCAATTCGCCCATCCCTGCCCTGTCCCCAACACTCACCTGGCCCTCCCTGCCCCTGTTCCTCACGCCCTTGGCCCTCTCCCTGTTTGTAAGCTGGTCTCTGCCCCTGGGCTCACCGTTACCCCCCTGTCTCCGGCCTCAGGAGCTCACCCTCTGTCTGGCCTGCAAGATGCTGCAGCTGAGCCTGTCCTGGCTGGGACTGGGGCCGCCAGCAGCCTCCCCGTGGCTACTCCTGCTGCTGCTGGGAGCCTCCTGGTTCCTGATCCGCTTCCTGACCTGGACCTACACCACCTATGACAACTCTCGCCGCCTCCGATGTTTCCCGCAGCCCCCGAAGCGGAACTGGTTCTGGGGTCACCTGGGCGTGGTGAGTGTGGACATCAGGACAAGTCTGGGGTATCAGGGTAGATGTGTTACCTAGGAGTTTGGGCTCTTGTCTTCTGATATAAAAGAATTTAGACCAGGGACACTGATAAAAGCAAAGGCAGATTACTGAGGCTCTGCAGAAGAAGAGCACACTGAGATAAGGTCCCAGGTTCTGTGCCCCAAATGTGGGGTGTAGGAGGCTTTAGGGTTTGGGAACACAGAAATTGATGGGATAAACCAATCAGGGGGTAGGTTAGCTGGCTTTTTCTTTTTTGAAACACTGATATCCAGGCATACCTCAGTGAAGTGAAGCATTCTTGGATTGTGCAGCTCTTACTATGGAATGCAGGAAGGGACTTGCCCAACCAGGTATTGAGTTTGCCTCTGTGGTTGGTAGCTCAGCTTTAGATCTGAAAAAGTTAAAGGAAGTCCGGGTAGTTCCTGGACCATTGTTTTGTAACTACCTATTGATAGCTGCCTAGTAGGGCTTGACTCCATGGAGCAATTTTTGGGACTATTTTATTCTATCCCTTTCAGATGGACTTCCCCTGAAAGGTTGGGAATGGGGCTCAGCGGTGGGGCTGAGGTTTAGGACAGCAGAGAAGTGAGGGAGCCCTTTTTCCTCACTCCCCCACCAGGTTCGTTCCTCTCCTCTGCACTCCATGTCCCCAGACCTTTCATGTTCTTACCCTTCCTCATCCCAAGCCTGCCTTGACTCCTGCGCCTGCCTGTCCTTCCCCATCAGTGCCTCTCTGAGGGTTTCTGCACACAGCCAGGTCTCCCGGTGTCCCCACAGTCTCCCGGTGTCCCCACAGTCTCCACCGCTGCACTTGTGGCCTCCTCAAGGTCCGCTCCCTGCCTGGCCCATCTCTGTAGGCCTCAGGCCAGTGTCTGTTCCTCTCTGGACCTCTGCCTCCCCAAAGCAATTAACTATGATCTCTGCCATCCCTTCCCCGCCCCGCAGGGGCACAGCTGGGCAGAGGGGAGGTGTGGGCAATCTCTCCTCCGCCCCTTCCTCAGGCACTTTCTTATCTTGTCTTCCATGCCCCAGATATGCCCTTGGGCCACTTCACCTTTCAGAAGGAATCACTCCAGGACTCTGCCCTCACGGCCACACTTCCTGGGAGGGGGCTCTTGGCCCCCTTGCCCCAGAGGCTCTTTGCCCACGCTACACCCACCCCCTATTGCCACAATCACACTTTGAACTTTGTCGTCCCTGTAAAGCCACTGACCTGAGTGTTGCATCTCTGACCAGAACTCCCTCTTCCTTCCAGCTTCTTTCTTCTTAGACCCTGCCAAGATGTCCAGTCCCTTCTATGTCCCAGTCCGACAGTTTCCTTCTGACCCCACTTCCTTGGATACGTTTAGCTTTGGTTCCATCCTTTGCATGTGGGCTGAAGTCTTTTGCCAGTCAAGGTTTCCTTCATGGCCCTTTGGACGACCTTTGCCTACTTGAGCTCAGTCACCACATCCTCTGATCTGTGCTCCACGATGATGCTAGAGAAGGTCATAAAACAGGACAAAAGTGTGACAACTAAATCCCCACCTGCCCACTTCCAGTGCACCCCAATCTGCACAAAACCTCCTGTCTGCTTGCCCTGCTCTCTCCTCCTAGGCAAAGACTTGTCTTCATCTGTTGCCTCCATTTCCCTGCTCGATCCTTACTTGCTCTAGTCTGACCCACCCCTGTCACGCTCGTGTGAGATGAATGTGAACTCCGGGTGCCTAAATTGCATCTCGCTCACCTCCCTGGCCTTGCTGACGGCTCTGTCACCTTGGAACCTCCTTTTTGTCTTGGTTCCAAGGCAAGTCCTGGCCGTAGTCTTTCTCTACTTCCTCGTGACTCCTCTGTCTCCAGTCTTGGCTCCTCCTTCACCCTACCTTTCCATGAGGGGATTCCCCCAGGATCCCAACCCCTCCTCTCTCTCCCAAGGCCACCTCCTTACCCAAGGCGCCAACGCTTGAATAGACCATCAGTCCCCCCCATAAATGAATTCCAAGTTCACATTTCTCTTGAGTCTGAGGCTGTGTGTCCAGCCCCTTTCTCCACTCCTCACGTGAGGGCGCTCTCATAGTACCTCATCTCACCAAGTTGGAATCTGAAATCACGGCTCCACCCCCAATCCTAACCCCCACCCTAGGTCTAGTTCATCCTTCAGTTATCCACCTCTCATACTTTAAGGTGCCCTGGCCCCTCTCTTCTCTCACCTGCATATCTGGTCCTTCAGCACATCTGGCTGTGCTGCCTCCACAACCTCTCCTCGATCTGTCCCCTCCCTGAATCATCCTATCACCCCTGGCTCCATCCACCACCATCTTTCTCTGGAAGCCTCTCCCAGCTCCCTCTCTGGTCTCCTCATTTCAGCTTTTGTTCCCTATCATCCTCTCCCTCTTCAGCCTTGGAGAAATTTTTCTGAAATTGAGTTTAGATCATGCCTCTTCTTGGCTAAAAACTGTTTGGTGACTGCCCTTCACTTTGAAGATAAAGACTAAACGTTGCCTGCTCTCACCAGCCCCACCCACACCCCAGACACTCAGAGCTCCTGCTTTATCTTCTCAATGAGCCAAGCCCTTCCTGCCCCAGGGCCTTTGCTCATGCTTCTCTTTTGACTGGAAGCACTTCTCTTCCTGTGGACACGTGGTCAATTCCTACTTATCCTCCCATTTTCAGCTCAAATGTAACTTCCTTCTAGAAACCGTCCTTTACCCCCAGACCTTGACATCTGACTTGGCCTTGCTCATACTTAAACAGATAATTGTGCAATAATTTGTTTATTATTCATCTATCTCATTAGATAGTGGCTGGGGGGGGTGGGTAGACACAATATCTATAGTGCCCATGCCAGGAGCTGATATACAGTAGGCACTTAATAAATATTTGATGGCATCATAGTGGAGGCCATGGTCTAGGCCTGGGTGAACTTGCATTCACCTTTCTTGGTCATCCAAGGCGAAAAGGATGAGCTACCAGCTCGTCTCCTCCCTTCCCCCCAACAAGCTTATCACAGAACAGGATGTCATAATCTTATCACAGAACAGGAGGTCCCAAGCTCATCATGAAGGTTGGTTGAGATTCTGGGTCTTGGAATGATCTCAGCATGCCATGGAGGCAGTGAGAATGTTAAAAAGTTACTACAGTTCTGATGCCCCCTCCAAGGGCTTGGACATGGAGGATGGCCTAGGGCACACTCTTCCCTCCTCTAGTTCCTCTTACTGTGTCATCTCAACTGAGTCATTCTTCCTCTCTGGAGCCATCTGATCAAGTGCCTCAGGGTCCTTGAAGAGCAGGGAGCATATCACAGAGTGAAAACAACTTATTTCACCTGACTGGAGCACCTGGGGTATTTGTCAGGCTCTGATTGGGCATCCTGAGGGACTGGAGAGGATGCCTCACCAGGAGGTGATCCACTCTCCTTCCCCTTTTAAAGGACATGGCTTCAGTTTCCATTTGTAAATGGTACGATTAATGGGCATTGTCCATAGCTTCAGGAGAGATAGGCAGACAGGATGCACTATGAGAGAGGATGGATGGATAGATAATATATAGATAGATAGTAGAAAAAAAGATGATGAATGGATAGATGATTAGATGATGGATGGATAGATAGATAGATAGATAGATAGATAGATAGATAGATAGATAGATAGATAGATAGATGACTAAGTAATGGATGGATAAATGATAGATGGATAGATAGATTATGGATAGATAGATAGATGATGGATGGATAGACAGATGATAGATGATAAATAGATTGATAAAAATAGATAGATGATAGATATATGTAGATGATAGATTGATAGATTGGTAGATATATAGAGATAGATGACATAAATAGATGATGGATGGATATAGATAGATACATACACACATATATACATGCAAACATACGTACAAGCAGAAGATAGATGTATGTGCATCCGTGTATGTACTTACCTCTTTCACTCCCTCTGTTTACCTGTCTATGTGTCCTCTCATCTCTCCCTCACTCTTTCTCTGTTTCTCTTTCTCTGCCCCTATTTCTCTGTCCATCTCTCCAACTCCCCACCTGTTTTCCCTAATTTCCATGCCCTCCATGCCCCCTAGTGCCCTCAGAATCATTCACCTGCCTTTACCCACTCTTGATGCCTGGCTGGATCTGCTCTCTCCAACTTTCTCTGCTTCTCATTCATTTCACTATAGCTGCCCGGAACTCCTCGCTGCTCATAGCCAGGTGCTGGCTCTCTCGTCTCTGAGCCTTTGAGTGGGCTATTCCTTCCATACATCTGTTATCTGTCTATCTATCTATCTATCTATCTATCTATCTATCTATCTATCTATCTATCATCTATCTATATCATTTATCTATCATCTATAACTACCTATCTGTCTCCTAAAGAAACAGAGAAAAAGAGTGAGAGGCATATAGGTAGACACAAAAAAAGACAGAGGTCAACAGAGAGAAGCTGACTTAGTAAGGTAGAGACAAGTGTAGACCAATAATCCAGGCAGAAGGAGTTAAGGGGGTGAGAAGGGTGTGGTGGGTAGGGGGTACAGTGGGCAGTTGTAGCATCTGAGGCCTCACCCCCACCCATTCCCAGGTGAAGAGCAATGAGGAGGGCTTGCGGCTGATAGAGGAACTGGGCCACCACTTCCGTGACGTCCACCTCTGGTGGATTGGGCCCTTCTACCCCGTCCTGCGGCTCGTTCACCCTAAGTTTGTTGCCCCCGTGCTCCAGGCCCCAGGTATCTCTCCCAGGATCCCCCAACTCCAGCCTCTCCCTTGGCTCTGCTCCTAGCTCCTCCCACCCATGGACAGACCAGGTTGAGCAGGGGAATGGGCAATGTTGATAGAGTCCTTGACTGTGGCACTAACCTGCTGGGGACTCTGGGAAGGTCCCTGGCTCTCTCTAGTTGTCAAAGTATCTTTCAGTTTTGAGTGGCAGAAACTCAACACTGTTGGTCTAAGTAAAGAAAGGGGATCTACTGACTGAAAAGCTCAGGGAGGGTTGTCTTCAGGCATGGCTGGATCCAGGTCTTCAAACAATGCCGTTGGAAATCTGTCTTCATCTCAGAGTTCTGTGTTCCCCTGTGCCAGCTTCACTCTCATGCTGGTGAAAATGAGTCACAGAGCTCAACTGTCATAAAAGTGAGTTCATTCCCCACAGACCTGGAAAAATTGCAGGATTCCTTAAATTTGCCTGGCCTGAGTTACAGGGACCAATTCCTCATCTAATCATTGTGACTTGATTGCCAAGGCTCAGGGTCATATGCTTAAGTCTGGAGTAGAGGACGGGTTGGCATGGCCACTGTCCTCACTACTTGAATTGAGAGTGGAGAAGGGATTAGTTGCTGGTTTCAGGAGAAGGGGATGGACACTGGACAGGAAGATGCCAGATGTCCATCCACCAGCATCCTGGCTAGTTTGGCATATCCTGGGTGAGGAAACTGAGGCTCAGAGAAGCATAGTGACTTCTCAAGGCCACAGAGCATGCTGAAGCTTTCCTCTTAGTTCTGAGTATTTTCATCTGCTCTAGCTACCTCAGATGGGAGGGACCCTAAGCTAGAAGGTGATTTGGGACAGGAAGACTGATGGCCAGAGTATTGCAGGGGAAGATCCACCAGACCCCAGGTTGGTGAACTGTATCTGGTTGGCCCTAGGGGGCTGGTCTAGAGGGAATAGTGGCAGCTCTTCATGGTGAGTGGAGCTCAGTATCCAGGAGGGGCAGCATCCTCTGGTCTCTTTAAGGACAGAGGAGCCCCTGACCTAAGCACTTAATGCTGAGTTTAAGGTGGAGGAAAAAACTGAGAAAGTCTGGGTCACCCCTGAGCCATGTCTGAGATGTTAATGGGACCATATTTAAGTCCTATCTGGGACTCGTTTGTGGGACACACTGAAGTCATATCAGATTGTCTTTGCATCCATGTCAGAGCATGCTGTGTTATGTCAGGGCATGTCATGCATGTTGGAGCCATGTAAGGATATGTTAAAACATGTTGGGGGCATGTCAGGTGTCCCAGGAGATGTCAGAGAGTGCTGGGGCAGATGGGGTTCCTAGGTCCCTGTGAAAGCATTTTGTAGAGCACTGGGCTGTGCTCAGGTGTGTAGAACATGTTGGATCATGTAGGAGCTATGTTAAGGCATGCTGGGCATGTTATGCCATGTTGAGGTGCGTCTAAGCAGGTAGGGGCATGTCTTTGGGCTCTGGCTTTGCTCTGCTCTGTGTTGCAGCCTGGTCTGGTTCCCCCTCCCCTCCCCCTCCCTGCCATTTCCTCTGCCCTTGTCCCATTCCTGCTGTGCTGGGCTTGGAGGGGGAATGCAGACCCCTGGCTGGGAGCCTCCTCCCCCTACCCAAAGTCCCTCTTCTCCCCCTCTCCATGGCCCTGATGGTTCTCATTCATGTCAGCTGCCATTGTGCCCAAGGACATGCTCTTCTATGGCTTCCTAAAGCCTTGGTTGGGTGAGTAACTGTGGGTGAAGGGGGTTGAGGACACCCTTGGGGGTCAGGGGAAGGCACTGTCCTTGCCCACTCCCTGTGGCTGCCTCTACTAGGGGATGGGCTTCTGCTGAGTGCTGGTGACAAGTGGAGCCACCACCGCCGCCTGCTGACACCTGCCTTCCACTTTGAAATCTTGAAGCCCTATGTGAAGATTTTCAACAAGAGCACAGACATCATGCATGTGAGTTTTTTAAACCCAGGGACCCAGCTGGAACCTTGGGAAAGAAGGAGTGGCCTCAGACATATATGGTCTGGAGTCCTGGCTCTGTTGGATGGCCTTGGGACCATTGCATTTCCTCTCTAAGCCTCAATTTCCTCGTCTGTAAAATGGAGATAACAATCCCTTTTTAATGGTGGTCATGATGTAATGGAAGCAAGTTCCTGGCACTAATGCTCAGAAAGGCTTTAGTTTCTGAGTCTGCTCACTGAAGCCCTCTAAATTCAAGATGGTAATGATAAAGATTGAATAGTAGCTTTTTCTGTATAACACACCACCTTAAAACTCATGGACTTGAAAAAAATTAGTATTTGGTTTTGCTCATGAGATTATGGGTCAGTTGAGTATTTCTTGTCTTGGCTGGAGTCACCCAATGTCTACGGCCATGGCTGGGTTCTGTAGACAGCCCTGCTGATCCAGGCTCTGCTCTGCCACATGTCCAGGGCTTGACTAGCTGTTGGCTGGTCTAGGACGGCCTTGGTTATACAACTGGACTCCTGCATTTGTCTTTCATTTTCTAGTAGGCTGGCCTGGGCTCACTTGCATGGTGGAGACTACATTCCACAAGAACGAGCGGAAACATGTAGTACCTCTGAAGCCTAGCTTCAGAGTTAGCACCATCATTTCCATCTTCTATTGGCTGAAGCAAGTCCCGCACCCAGCTCGGATTCAAGAGGGAGATAAGGGATTCTGCCTCCTAACGGAAAAACTACAGTGTCTCATTGCGAAGGATGAAGATAGAGGGAGGGACAAAGATATGGAAATGTTTTTGCAGTCACCTACCACTGTGATAAAGATGAAAATGATGAAGATAGCTAACAGTTACTTTGCACTTACTGTGTACCAAAAGTGGTGTGCCAGTTCCATGGCATATGTTATATATATATATTTTTAAATCTGTACCTGAGGATATTTTTTTCCATTGCATTTCAGAGAGAGTGGAAGGGAGAGAGAGGGAAACATCGATGTGAGAGAGACACATCTATTGGTTGCCTCCCTCTCACTCCCCAGTGAGGCCTGGGATGCAGCCTGCAACCAAGGTGCATGCCCTTGGCCAGAATTGAACCCAGGACCCTTCAGTCCATGAGCTGATGCTCTAACCATTGAGACAAACGGGCCAGGGCATATGTTGTATAATTTAATTTTAACCACCATACGAGACAGAGATGATTATTATGACCACTTTATAGATGATGAAACAGAAGGTCAGAGAGGTTAGGAAACTTGCCGTGTTCACATAGCTAGTAAGTGAGCTATGAGTGGTGGATCAAGAATTTTAGCCTGGCCCTGGCAAATTAGGCTCAGTGGTTAGAGTGTCAGCCTGCGAACCGAAGGGTCATGGGTTCGATTCCTGGTCAAGGGCATGTACCTCGGTTGCAGGCTCGATCTCTGGCCCCAGTCGGGGCTTGTGCAGGGGGCAACCAATTGATGTGTCTCTCTCACATCCATGTTTCTCTTTCCCCTTTACTCTCTCTAAAAAAAATCAATGAAAAAGATATTGGTGGGTGAGATTAACAAAAAAAAAACAAAAAATTTAACCTGGTTTGTCTGACACCAAAACAGGTCATCTTAACTATCATTTAATATTTCACGGGTGCAACCCAGAGGAGAACAATGACCTTGAACTGAAGTCTCCTGACTCCCAGCCCTGGGGTCACTCTCACTCAAGCCTGGTCCTCCCTGGGGATGAGTGCCTGGGACAGACGACCAAGAGGCAGGGCTTGGGGGAGTCCATCCAGGTGGTTGGGGTTGGGGAAGGGCTCAGGGAAGCCCCAGCTCTGTCCCCTTCTCTGTCCAGGCCAAGTGGCAGCGCCTGGCCTCAGAGGGCAGAAACCGTCTGGACATGTTTGAACACATCAGCCTCATGACTCTGGACAGTTTGCAGAAATGTGTCTTCAGTTTTGACAGCAATTGCCAGGAGTGAGTCTCTGCCCAGAGCCTGGGCACATGAGCCATAGACCAAAGGAGTAGATGGAGAGGGGACTGACCAGGGCAATCGTAAGGGCCTTCCTGGAGGAAGTGGGTCAGAGCTGGACATTTAAGATTAAGGTTGAGGAAGGAAAAGAGTGATCCCTTCAGGTAGGTAGAACTGTTTGATAAAAGCCAGGAGACTGGAATGAGCAGCGTGTGTGTAAAAGTGAGGAGACATCTTGGAAATAAGGGAGGGTTAGTCACGGGCTGGCTCTTAATGCCATTTAAAAGCTGGGCAAAGAGGTATGAGCTTTAGCCTGAGGTTTCCAGGGAGCCATGGAAGGTGTTTGAACAGATGAGAGTTGTGATCAAAGCTGAGCTTAGACATCGGAGTCTAGAGATGATTGACTGTTGTGTAGACACAGGATGCAAGGAGACCATGAAGAGGAGGACTGAGCTTGGTGGAGAAAATGGGGCATATTTGAGAGAAACCGAGGCAGGATGGGCAGGGCCAGATATTGCACAGGAGAGAGAGGAGACGAGCATGATTCCTAAGCTTTGCCCTGGGGTCCAGGACATGAGGCAGCTCTTAGAGATAGAAGCATGTTTGGAGGGCATCCTTTCCTGGATTGAACTTGGTCCCGGGTTCTGGCTGGGAAGGCCTACCAGGATTTCATGTGTGTTAAGGAGCTGCTTTTTCTGGCCTCGTCCTGCAGGAATCCCAGCGAATATATTGCTGCCATCTTGGAGCTCAGTGCCCTCGTGACAAAACGGTCCCAGCAGATATTCCTGCACATGGATTCCCTGTACTACCTCACTCCCGACGGGTGGCGCTTCCGCAGGGCTTGCAACCTAGTACACAACTTCACAGACGCCATCATCAAGAAGCGGCGCTGCACCCTCATTAGTCAGGGTTCCCATGTCTTCCTCAAAGCCAAGGCTAAGGCTAAGACTTTGGACTTCATTGATGTGCTTCTATTGTCCAAGGTGGGCTTCTCTGGGATCTGAATTCAAGAGGTAGATTGGACATTGATTTCAAATGTCAGATTGAAGAACTTGGGCTTGAAGCAGAGGGCACTGGGGAGCCATGGAGGGTGCTTGAGGAAGGGAGGAATGGGTTGGAGATAAGCTGTAAACATGACTGTGTAGAAGGCTGTCTGAAGGAGTAAACAGGAGGCAGTAAACCAGGGAGGAAACATGTGGGGTGAGCTCTGGTGATGAGGAGGGAGGGATCCTGCTTGGATGATGGAGCTTCAGGGACTATTTCAGGTTAGACATAGACATCCTCAGAGATGGTGTGATTCAAGGCATCTTGCCCTTTTTCAAGGATGAAAATGGGAAGGGACTGTCAGACGAGGACATCCGAGCGGAGGCTGATACTTTCATGTTTGAGGGTAAGGGTCCCAGTGTGGGATTACAGATGGGGTGGGGTCTGTCCATCCCAGGGACTTGGCAAGTCGCCCTGGGCCACCCCATCCCTCCTGATCCTCCCCACCCTCCCTGAGGGCCTCAATATAAGGGCACTGCCCACCTTCTGGTGCTAAAGCAGCCCAGAGACCCAAGCCTGTTTGACTGCCTCTCAGGCCATGACACCACAGCCAGCGGCCTCTCCTGGGTCCTGTACAACCTGGCAAGGCACCCAGAATACCAGGAGCGCTGCCGGCAGGAGGTGCAACAGCTCCTGGGGGACCGGGAGCCTAAAGAGCTTGAATGGTGAGTGGGGGTTCTCATGGCCCCTTCCTGAGGCCCTCTCATTGGCTCTGCTCCCGAAATGGGGAAGAGGGAAGGTCCTTTTGCTGATTCTGTCATTCTGTCATCCACTTAGTGGGAATGGAAGCAGAGCCCAGAGGCAGGGTCTGGTATCCAGCCTGGATAGCAGGAAAAAAGTTACAGGCTTTTGGGGCAGAAAGATCTGGGCCTGGAGAGAATTAGTGACAATGTGTGAGGGCAGATGATGCCACTTAACACATATTTAGTAAATTAGCTTTCTCTCCACTCCCTTTTCTCTCTGAAATCACTTTCCCCCCCAAATATCTTCACTACCTGAATCTTTGCTCATCTCCTGCCTCCCAATTCCTTCCATATTGTTTAGTCCAGGATTCACAGAGGACACCTAGGGATGAAAGTCACTCAGCGCTTGCCTAGGAACACCTGAATCTTCATCCTTCCAGTCCCTATTCAACAAACCTTGCACAGTGCCCTCCCAGCTCCAATTCTGGGCCATCTCCAATTCCTCCCAGCTCCATTCTGTGTCCTGGAGACCCAGGAAGGACCCAGAGCAAGCCTCTGCCTTCCAGGGGCTCAGCCTGGTGGGGGAATAGTCCCAGCTCAGGATTCTCCCAGTCCACACAGGCAGCGCTGGGGCTGACAGTAAGACGGGCAAGGCTGAGGGTGGAAAGAGCATGTCAGCTGAGCCCCTGAATGCCGATCAGTAGATATTTGCATGTATTTGGGGTGCAGTTAGGTAAAAAGAGACAGCCTAGGCTAAGGGAAGGAGTGCNGGCCTGGATAGCAGGAAAAAAGTTACAGGCTTTTGGGGCAGAAAGATCTTAGTATCCACATTTATTGCCCCACTAACTTGCCATGTGACTTTAATAAAATCAATTTCCTTCTCTGAATGCCACTTTCCTCCTCTGTAAATTGGATGGTGCGTGTGTGAACGTCTCCCCCAAAGGGCTGCTTGGAGAATTGCAACAAAGTGTGTAAAAGAGATGCCACCCAGCAGGTGTTCAGTAAATGAACTTCTCCTCCCTTCCCTTGCATTTCTGCCTGAAGCTGCAATTTTCCCCCTAAGACCCTCCCACTCCCCTTAATTTTTGCTCTTTTCTCTAATTCCCACCTAATAGTCTATTCCAGAGATTCCCAAGAAGTCTTTGGGGGTAAAAAATCATCCATTTTTTCGTTCCGTAAATACGTCCACACTGCCTGCCCTTTCCCAACCCAGTGTCTAGTCCCATCTGAGTTCTACCTGGGCAAGGCTGGGACTGAGAGGAAAGGAGGTAGAATTGGGTAGTGAAACAACAAATACAAATTCACCACATTGAGTGAACAGTGCTCCTGGCCAGGGGACAGCTTATGCAAAGGCCAGGCCAGAAGCATGCAGGAGTGAGCCTGGCATGCTTGGGAGGAAGTAAAGGTGGCTGGATCCTTGTAACATTTACAGTCTGAAGAACCAGAGGGGCTCCCAGTGAGGCTGTACTGGTAATGGAAGCCCCCCTAGAAGTGCTTTGGAAACTATGTTAAGAGTTTCCAAGGGTGTCACCTCAATTCTTTGGGAAGTTGATACTAGATAAAAGGTAAAAGTGGGAGAGATGCTGCCATTGGAGTCTCACATTGGGCAGAAATGGTCGGGCAGTAGTGGCCATGCACTCAGTCACTGGCTAGGGGCTGCCCAGGTAAGTGTAGTCTCGGCGTGAATGCTGCAGCAGGGCCCAGAGACCCTATCGCTGGAGGCTGTCCGCTTGTTGTTTGCAGCTCTACAGTAGGCTCTTTCTTGAAGGGTGAGCCATGACTAACACAGGGCAATGGGGAGCCATGGGAGATGTTTGAGCTGCAGAGAGACAGGTCAGATATGGGCATTAGAAATATCTCTCTGCAACTACAGAGGCAAACTGGAGGGGATGAGCTGGGCCCAGGGGTCAGATTCTGGGCCAAGGGATGAAAGGTGGAAAGGAGATATTAGACTGGACAGTCATTTTGGAAGTAGTGCCCTTCGACTTCAAGGCTTTGTTCAGCACAGCAGTCCTGTGAGGTGGAGAAATGTTTTTCTCCCAACTTCAAAAGATTATGCACTTGGTAAAAATTTGAATAGTACCGAATAGTTTACAATGAATATAAGCCTTCATCTTTTTTTCTCGCAGATTTCTGAAGGTATAGTGAACATATAACACTGTGTGAGTTTAAGGTGTGCAATGTGATGATTTGATGTACGTGCATGTGGCATAATGAGTGCTATAGGGTTGGTTAACACACTCACCGCCTTGTACAGCGAATAGATGAAGATCTAGTTCATTTCGTTTCCATTGTCTGACCACCTTCTACCAAACTATCTATTGCCCAGGGGTTTGTGAGGCCTCCTTTACTGGGGGCTAAAATTTCACTTATTGACTTGTAGCCTCCGAGCTCTCTATTATGTTCCATGTTGTTTTTCTGTTCTTGCAACAATACCACACTGTTTTTTGTTGTTGTTGTTGTTTGTTTTTTATTTCTGCACTTTTGTGATGGGTTTTAATATCTGGTAAATTGAGTTCTCTTTCTTTGATCTTTTATATTTAAGTGACCTAGCACTTAATGAACTTTAATTCTTTCAAATTGGATAACATAACCAAGTTCCCAAAAAACCACAAGTAGATTTTTATCAGGTTGCATTAAATATATTGATTAATTTAGATAGAACTGACACTTTCATATTAGGTCATCCTACCTTAAAATGTAAAGTGGATCTTTATTTTTTTTTTTTTTTTAACGTGTTTTTATTAATTTCAGAGAGAGGAAGGGAGAGGGAGAGAGAGAGAGAAACACAAATGATGAGAGAGAGTCACTGATAGGCTGCTTCCTGCATGTCCCCCCTGGAAATCGAGTCACAACCAGGGCATACACCCTGATGGGGAATCTAACCTCGACCTCCTGGTTCATAGGTCGATGCTCAACTTCATAGGTCGACTCTCAACCACTGAACCATGCCAGCAGGGCTGGAGTAGATCTTATTTATTCAAATAACCTTCTAAGTCCATCATAGAGATAGATATTTTTGCTCTAAGGTAATTATATAATTTAAAAAGCTTTTTATACAAATGCACTAATGCTTTTAAGAATACCCTGTGAATGTGGTGTTTTGCTCAGAAATGGTTCTAAAAATACCATCCTACATTTTCTATAGCAACTTTTGTGATTTTAACTTTCTAATGCTTAAACTTTTGGTTCACCTGGCATTTATTTTGTTATATGAGTGAGAGTCAGAGTGAGGTGGGGAAAGGATCTCCAGGGGCAGGAAGGCTGACGGTGTCTCTGGTTTTGCTCCCTGGGTGACTGTCGTGGGGTCCCTCAGGAACGACTTGGCCCAGCTGCCCTTCCTGACCATGTGCGTCAAGGAGAGTATGCGCTTGCACCCCCCAGTCACTGTCATCTCCCGCTGCTGTACCCAGGACGTCTTGCTTCCTGACGGCCGGGTCATCCCCAGAGGTGCTGGCAATGACATGGGGAGGAGGGTGGTGGTCCCACCAGTGGGGACCTCGTCCTGACTGACCCGTATCCCATAGGAAACACCAGTGTCATCAGCATCTTTGGGATTCATCACAACCCGTCGGTCTGGCCGGACCCTGAGGTGCTGTCCCCCCCCTGCTTTCCGTCCTGGGACCTGGTGGTGGGGAGGGATCCTGCCTCAGGAAATCAGACGCTCCCAGGCCACTGTATCGACATGGCTTTTCTGGGGGCGTCTGGGTGTCCTGAGGCACCCCATCCAGCAAGCCTGCCTCTTTGTCCCCAGGTATACAACCCCTTCCGCTTCGACCCAGCAACGCCCCAGAAGAGGTCCCCTCTGGCGTTTATTCCGTTCTCAGTGGGGCCCAGGTGAGGCCAGCGGGCGCCCGGGCGGGGATGCGGCTCCGCGGGTGTCGCCGCCCCACGTGGGGTTCCCAGGCACTTAGTGCCCCTGTTCATGCCCGCAGGAACTGCATCGGGCAGACGTTCGCCATGGCCGAGATGAAGGTGGTCCTGGCGCTCACGCTGCTGCGCTTCCGAGTCCTGCCCGACTCCGTGGAGCCCGAGCCGCGCAGGAAGCCCGAGCTGATCCTGCGCGCCGAGGGCGGCCTCTGGCTGCGGGTGGAGCCGCTGAGCGCCGGCCCGCACTGACCCGCACTGACCCGCGCCCCCTGGCCCGGCTTCACCCTTGACCCCACGCACCTCCCCCTGCACATTCCCAGGAATAACACTGCTGTGCCCTCTGCCCCAGTGTCCCCGAGAGCCGGTAGGAAGCGGAGGCGCTGGAGGCCTGCAGGGACCCAGCGGCTGGGTGTACCTGGGGGGAGGGGGCCCTAGTGTCTCTGAGCCCTAGACCCTGACCACCTCTGCAGCTGACCACAGGGCCCCACGCGGATCGAGGGTTCTCCCAGAGACCAATTATAGATTTTGTCCTGTGGGGAGGTGGGAGCCATGGGAGGTGTTTGAGCAGGAGGAAGCCCCGGGTTAAAGGACTTAAGGGGCACAGTTGAGGTTCTATATCACAAAGGAGAACCCTTCGAGGCAGATTCGTTCCTCTGAGCTAAGGGTGCCTCCCAAAACAGATCCCTGGCCAGCCCAGAACACANCCTGACCCGCCAGGACCCGCAAGGACCCTCGGCGGCCTGGCCTGCCCCCCACCCTGACCCTACACATCTCCCTCTGCAGGTTCCCAGGAAAAAAACAAACCCTGTGCTGTCACCTCGGCCTCGGCCTCACTGAGTCAGGGGTGGGCGCTTGGGGCCTGCGGGGTCCCAGGGAGCAGGCGTGGCTCAGTGCAGGGGCTCTTGTGTCTCCAGCAGACCACAGGGCCCCAGACAAATCACAAGTTCTGCCAGAGCCCAAGCATGGACTTTATAGTGCTGGTGACTCTAAAGGGAGCTATGGGAGGTGCTTGAGCAGGAGAGGGACCAGGTTTAAGGATGGGTTTAAGGGGCACATGTGAAGCTCTGAGTCACACAGGAGAACCCATAGTGACACTACCCTATGCCATCCTGACCTCAGTTCTGATCTAATATATCCAACCTTTCTCACCTCAGAATCCTTCCCAGTTTCCATGTTTATTATGTTACAATGTTTGTTTAATCATAACAAGCCTGAATGCCTTATAGTTTGTGCCTAATTGTTGCAATAAATGTATTTGCTATATTGTCTGTTGTTTCTGCTGTTTTTCACACATAGGATCAGTGTTCTTGTGTCTAGTTCTCTTTTCCTGGGTAGTGGCTAACATATTTGAAATATTTGTAGAATTTGGAGAAGGCAGCTTTGCTGGGAGCCCTGCTGGTTGAGGATTATGTTAAAGGAAGTTCAAGGCTTGCTCTGCCCAAAGTTAGGTACAGCTTGCTGGTTCTTCCCTTTCAGTTTGCTCTCACCCTAAGAGACGTAGCTTTTTGAGGTCTCCACTATGTGAGGAAAGTCTTCTTACAATTTCCCCTTCTTGTGTAACTCTGGGCTTTGATTTTCTTTCCCCACCTGGAGGTCATCAAAACAGAGTTTCACATTTTCCTGACTTGGGAAATGCTCCCAGAGCAAAAGTATAATTCAAGTTCATTTTGTCTCTAGGTTTTTATTTTCATTTGGTAGTGTCTTTATAACTAGTTACCATCTTTTCACGTCATTTATTCATTTAAGAAATTGGAAAAGTATCCAGCATTAAGAGTTGTTTTAAAAAACCTGAAAGTGTTATCCAAATAATCTAGTTTGCCATTAATGGAAACAAAAAGTCTCAATTGGGATTTTAAATGGTCACGATCCAGTTATTACTCCACTCTTGGATGTATTAAGGGTGATAACTGTCTTTAGGTGTATAGAGTTCCAGACCACAAAAGCCCACATCAGGGTTTAAGGAACCTCTGCCCATCACCCAGAGATGCTGGACTTTGAGACGAATAGAGGGAGCAGGTGGGTGAGGCTGACTCCCTTGGGAATGTTGTGTGTTCCTTGGATAAGAAAAATGACACACGTTGGATGTTTTTATAGTCAACAGGGTGGACTATGTCAGAGACTGCTAATTGTGTATCCTGATATCTTAGAATCCCTAGTTTTTAGCTGGGTGGATGGCGGGCTGAAATACAGATTATTTTTAAAGCTTTTCTTGAAGCTGCGTTGGTTAAATGGCTATGTCCAGTCCCACCTGGAGAAGTCAAAGGTTATGCAGTCATTCTGGAAACCTTCCTTAAGAGAAATCCGGAACACTGTCTCCACCCAGCCCTTCCCCTTCCTCCATTACGCTGCTGGGGACACTGATGGGGTAGCTGGCGCCCCCCCTGGGAGCATGAGGACACGACCACTCTTCAAGGAAGGGAAAGCAGGTCAGCAGTCAGACCCCAAGACCCTGGGTCCCCAGCCCCTGGAGCTGTGCATCCAAGGTCACAATCCCAGTCCGCTATTTACTAGCTGTTTGTCTTGGGGAACATGATTTCTCTCTCTAAGCCTCAGTTCCTTTACTGTATAAGAAGAGCCACTTTGCCACCCTGTTGTGATTAAATAAATAAGCACATGGAACGTGAAGGTCATCATCCGGTAAGCTTCAGTCTTCGTGAGGATTCATTTCCTCCCTTTTACCATCATGTTCCACAATTTGAACTGGAACATGACGCAAAAAGGCAAGTTTAAGTTTTGGGAAAGAAGGCAACCTGCTGGAAATAAGGCAACTTTCATTAGAAGATTCACTAAATTTAAAGTATCTGTGGTGACATCTGAGAAATTACAGGTCTTCAGTGCAAAGCTGGCCTGAAGCTGGGAACTGGAAAAAGCACTTTTCCCCAGAGAGGCATGACCTGAACTTTATTTTCGCCCAGATGTTCCAGGAAATGAAGGTGTCATGGGTCTGCCATAGTGGGAGGAAGGTGGGCGGCGAGGCCAGCGCTTCCTTCAGCACCTGGGACAACGGCCACCCAGGACTTGCTCCTCTCTGGCATTTGGGGGCAGGGCGAGGTCCAGGGGTACAAGTGTCAGAGCATTTCAGGGCCCACAGATTGGGAGCTGGCAGGCTTACTGGCTGCAAAATAATAATAAAAAGAATACTTCAACATGGAATGAGCAAATATTTGATATACTTGAAGCTGAAAATCACATTTTTCTTTGTCTTTAAAGTTCTTATTTAAAATATTTTTACTTAGCCCAGCTGGGTGTGGCTCAGTGGTTGAACATCGACTTATGATCCAGGAGATCACAGTTCGATTCCCAGTCAGGGCACATGCCTGGGCTGCGGGCTTGGTCCCCAGTTGGGGGCGTGCAGGAGGCAGCTGATCAATGACTCTCTCATCATTGATATTTCAACTCTCTCCCTCTCCCTTCCTCTCTCTGAAATCAATAAAGATATATATTTTTAAAAAGTTTGTCTCACTTTACAAGAATTCTCTTCAAGTACATTGATGGCTGAAGAGATCACTCTCAGTTATACACTGAGTTACTCTTAATGAAATAATATTTTTGTAGCAATAGATACATATACATTCATCTAAGATATAGATGTGGTTTCAAACGTTTCATAGAACATGTATGGCCTGGTGACTCCTCAAACCCTGCAGTTTTGGGTCCTATTAATAGAAGTAGAGTACTGAAAAGGAAGGTGACACTTCAGCTCCCCCAGGTAAACACTGGTTTCATCCTCACACCAATCTTATGGACCCAAGAGATTAATTCACTTGCTCAAGGTCACTCAGTGAGTGAGTGATAGTGGGGTGAATTTGGCCAACGTGGCTTTGGAGATACATTCTAACCTACAAAGAATGGGATTTTTAGGTGTGTCTCAGCCCTAGGCGCATTAGATCACCTGGGAGCCATTCCAGGCTCACTGTATGAGACTGTCAGGTGATGCCTATATTTTAAAGTGTAGTATTTTTGATACATTCACTCATGAAAAAAATGCACAGTGAAAAATGCTGGTATTCCAGATGTCCTTCATTCGCCGTTTCTTCTTCTGTAGGTAAACACCTGTCCTTTTTGTATATTGTTTCATAGTATATTTACGCAAAGAACGTATGTGCTCAGTTACCCTCAACCCTAAAAAACCCTTTCTTTGACCCCACTTTCCCACGAGCTAAGGCACATTTCTTTAACCCATTAGGCAGCAAACCCAAGAGTGATCTGTACAAATGTCTCCTCTCCCGGTCCGCACAGGCTTCGAGTCTCCACTGAGGCTCTTGATGGTGGATGAATGAAGGAGAAGGGGGCCTGTGGGGCCTGGGACTCGCTGCACCTGCTTGTGTGATTTTTAAGACACCCTGTGTCTGGGGCCCTCACTGGCGGC